GCCCCACTAAGCCCCACTAAGCCCCACTAAGCCCCACTAAGCCCCACTAAGCCCCACTAAGCCCCACTAAGCCCTACTAAGCCCTACTAAGCCCTACTAAGCCCTACTAAGCCCTACTAAGCCCTACTAAGCCCTACTAAGCCCCCCTAAGCCCCCCTAAGCCCCCCTAAGCCCCCCTAAGCCCTAAGCCCTAAGCCCGAAGCCCTAAGCCCTAAGCCCTAAGGCCGAAGCCCCAAGCCCTAAGCCCGAAGCCCTAAGCCCTAAGCCCTAAGGCCGAACCCCTAAGCCCTAAGCCCTAAGCCCTAAGCCCCAAGCCCCCCAATCCCCAATCCCCAATCCCCAATCCCCAAGCCCCAAGCCCCAAGCCCCAAGCCCCAAGCCCCAAGCCCCAAGCCCCAAGCCCCAAGCCCCAAGCCCCAAGCCCCAAGCCCCAAGCCCCAGCCCCAAGCCCCAAGCCCCAAGCCCCAAGCCCCAAGCCCCAAACCCTAAACCCCCAAGCCCCAATCCCCAAGCCCCAAGCCCCCCACCCCAAGCCCCCGCCCCAACCCCACGCCCCAAGCCACCCCGAAGCCCCAATCCCAACCCCAGCCCCCCAAGCCCCAAGCTCCCCCCAGCCCCAAGCCCCAAGCCATCCCCAAGCCCCCAAGCCCTAACCCTAAGCCCTAAATCCCTAATCCCTAAGCCCTAACCCTCACCCTAGCCAAAGCCCTAAGCCCTAGCCCTAACCCTCCAGCCCTAAACACTAAGCCCTCCTCCCTAAGCCCTAATCCCTAAACGCCCTAAGCCCTAAGCCCTAAGCCCTAAGCCCTAAGCCCTAAGCCCTAAGCCATGCCGCCCCCCCCCCCCCAAAAAAGAAACCCACCCGCCCCCCCACCCCCACCCACCCCCACCCGCCCTGCGCTTGTTGCGGGACGGGCATGCCGCCTTCCCCCCCCTCACCCCCACTACCCCTTCCTGCCGCCTCGGTACCCTTGCCGAGGCGGCCTCGCGTTAGCGATCAAATTATGTTCACATTTTACCTGCTTCAGCACAGGAACCGCTGAGAGTCTATGATCTGGTGACACTTTGTGAAATGAGATTGGAACATTGTCATGGCAAGTCACCCTGCGACATGAGTGACATTGGGGGGGGGGTGTTTTCTCACAACAAGCTCGACATTCGTCTGCAGAGTATTGGTCAGAGCGAAGACACGCGACCCATCCTGACAACCTGTGGATCTTTCCGTTCATTTTCGAAACAGGTATTACATGTTGTCACACAGCCGTTGGAAGACGGACACCTTGCACTCCCTTTGCCAAAGTGTACAAGACTCATTTTAACTCACTTTCCACGCCTGCTTCGAGGTGGAAGCTGACCAAGACAGCCAGCGTGTAATCTCAGAGTCTGCCTGCCCAGAACACAAAAAGTACACCTAGACAAGGCGACACGCAGATATAAGCGAATGCAAACATGTGACCAGGATTGCTTTTTGTCCAGATTCGCATACGGACAGCATACTTTTTGCATGAACACGGCAGCAAAGAGCTCGGTTTTTCATACAGCTGTCGGCAATCAATAGCGCTTCCAAAGCTTCGGATCAGAGAGCCATTTTGTTTTGCTATCACGCATACCGTGAACCCCCTAAACCGTCAACATGCTGCAAGTGTTTCCAGGATTACACCCCTCCATGAAAGGGCACCGCTAGACAGTTCAGAAAGCAGCCTTACATCAACATCAGAAAACGGAGTGGCGACAGCTTGCACAGATAGGCTCGAGCATTCCCGAAGTGCTCGACAAAGGAACATGGTTAACATCGCGCTGTCTGTTGCCGAGCAGAGGTAGCATGAAGGATGCACTCACAAACTTGGTTGAGGAAAGGATGCCATGCCTATCGCTTCTCGGAGCCACCGTCTGTTGAATGTGTTGGCACTCTGCGTTCTGAATTGCGTGGTTTTCTTCCGATTTAGTTGTGTCGCTTTTGTTGTTTTCCGGACTACTTCATAAAGGTTGAATGCCATTGCGCGGTCATCCTCGCTGTGTCGCTGAGCGAACGGACTTGATTTGAATGGCATGTGCCGGCTCATAAGTGTCTCGGAGGCAGATCGATTTATACAGAGAGCACGGTTGTTGCGCATATGCTCATACAAGCACACCATAAGGTGCGAACGAAATGTGACGGTCAACATGACACGAAAATTGCGCTTGCGTTTGAAGTGAACTGAACGTAGAACGCAACAGCTGGAACATGAAAACTTCAACTCATCAAACAACAATCTACTTTCTGCGCGGTAACATTTGGCAAAAAGTTGTGGGCTGTGTGCAGCCCGCCTTTCGGATCACGCTGAGAGCTTGTCGGGCTGCCTGATCTTCCGCCTCCTGCGCAAATGGCGGCGCAAGCGAGCCCTGAAGTCGTACCGAAAGCTGAGACTCACACCTCGGTGTATCTATCTTCTACGTCCGACTAGGGACCAGACTGTTTCTGTGTTCTCCCCTTCGGTGTTCTTCGGCATACTCGTAAACAAGAGAAAACGGAAAGGGAGCGAAAAAATGAACAGGAATCTCCTGCCTCATCCCCTTCGCCGTGTCTCTTTTTGTTTCTCCAAAAACTGGAAGATGAAACAGAGGAGGAGCAAAAGGACTGGGAAGGAGATGATAAGAGACAAGAAAAAAGAAGTTGCCCTGTGGACCTCTCCCCCGTTCCTGTCTTCTTTTGGCCTTTTGGTCCTTCTTTTTCAAGGCAGGAATCAAAGAGAAAAAGGAGAAGACACGAGCGGCTTGGGCACCCATCTTGCTTACCTGCTTTTGTCCACGTCGTCATAGAAGCGGAGAACAGAAGAAGAACAAGAAAGAGCTGGGGAAGCCTTAATTCCAACATAAGAAACAGCGGGTCATTCTTTTTCGGCATGCAGGTGGGTGAAGCTTATTTTGGGTGGGGTTAGATTTGTTCGGATAGTTCTGGTGGCCTGGCTGAAATAGTTTGATAGATGAAAAAGTTTCAGCATGCCCTGGGTGAGGCGAGTCTGCTCAAATATCTTAGGGACTTCGCATACTTCAGAAGAGCTTTCAGTTTCTGAAAACGGACAACAGAAAATATCATCCACACTTGTCAAAAATGTGTAAGTTAAGTGGTCTCCTTGCATTTTGGTTAAGATGCAAGATGGCGGTCAAAGACAAGTGGATGGGATCTCTTGCTTCGCAGTGGTCCTCCGTGTGGATCTCCTCCTTTCCTTCTGCTAGCAAAGCCGAGGAGTTTTCTATGTGTCACACGTATTGACAAGAGACTGAGTTCTTAGGCTCCTGCTAGACTGCCCTACTGGGTGTCACAGAGCCCCTGCACTTCTTTCTCGCAAGGGAGCTTGCCTTCATTTGGGTTGGGGAAGTCGTCCATTTTCTCTTCAGACCTGTGCCCTCATGGTTTAAAAAGATAAGCATCCTTCCTGAAACACAGGGTGAGCCTGTCTTCTGCTAGGTAAGGTTCCAGAGAAGAAACAAGAGGATCCTTTCTAAGCACGCAGAGCCCTCCCAGCCTAGGTTTTTTGAGGAGGGCTCTCTTGCAGCGCCACAGTTTTCCTTGAAGTGGAAGGACTCAATGCACCCAACATGTCTTCACACTCAGATGGGAAGCTTGTGATTTGCTGCAGTGATGGGGTCTTGCTTGGTCTGAGTGTTGCCTGTTGATACTGACACCTTGAAGCACGTATCTTCGGAGACCAACCATCAATTTGAGCAACCTTCCAAGCGGTATGCGAAACATCGTTCTCTGCGCGAGGGTGCCACATAAGCTGCAGCAGCACAATATGTTTTCACTATCGTTGTTGTGACCATGCTCCTACAAGGTATTCTGTGTTCTGTGTTGTAACACGGGGGCGTGCCTTGCGTGACCGGCCAACGCCTTCGAAGTACTCGAATGGCTCGGTCTCAGTTGCACCCAAACCTTCCAACCCGTGGAGTCCTCAAACCGAAGGTTGAAGCTGTGCCTCCACAGCCTCCTGGCCTCATTCCCACAGCCTTGAACTCTGAGCTTTACGGCCTGATGCATGTTTGACTTGCGCCCTAGTCCAGCCCAAGCCGGAGGTCGACTGGTCCACTGCCCTGACCCCCTGGCAGTCAATCGTGGCAACTGCTGGTGACCCCCAATGCGCCTTGCAATGATGACCTTTGCAAAACAAAACTTATGCAGAGTTTATCTTGGAGCTGGTTGTTAAGAAGCTGCTGGGCTGCAGAGACCCTGCAACAAATGGGAATTGCAGCACAAGTTGCTGGGATGAAGTTCCTCGGCCGACATTCGAGGAACATGTGCATGAATCTGCACGGGCACTGTATGGCTTGGAAGGATCCGTCAGTGCTTCAAGCGATCGAGCCGGCGCAGAACCCTTTGCACTGCTGTCCACTTCCCAACTGACTTTCTAACCATTGGAAAGGTCTCCCTGTTGATATGAGACGTCATCTCCATCCACACTGTACGGGTTTGAGCTCTGAAGTTGTACTGCACGTTAAGTAAACATCCTGGCTAAGTACATGAAACACCCTCAGTGCATCAAAATTCGGAGTCCATATGGTACATCAGGGGCGCGCAGCCTTCAGAAGCTCTAAACCATGAAGTTCTGCTTAAAATGCGCAGCAACAGGGTTTCCGTTGTAAATGCCGAAAGACCAAAATTCTCACATGCGCGTCCGCAAGGCATTCACGAGGCGTTTGGCGAAGCGTTTTGCGAAGCGTTTGGCGTTCCGCGAAGCGTTCCGTGAAGCGTGCGTGAAGCGCTTGCGAAGCATCCGCGAGCTTCGCACTGAAGCTGTAGTTGCGCCAAACTGCATCTTGACTTCGCTTGGCGATGTCTTTGGGCCTGCAGGATGTCGGCCGCTCTATCGAGGCGGCCGCAGCTCTGCACGAAGGGCTTTCGTGGGATGGACTTGCAGGCCGATGGAATACCGAGGCCCTCAGGAATCTCTCCATACCGTTCCGAAGGAATCGACCCTTGGCGTGGCTTCCGTGTCACCGCTGTGATTTTGGCCAAAGTAGATCTTATGGACCATTCCGCAATCTCATTCGAAGAACAGAGTGTGCTTTTCAGCGTGAGCTCCGCGAATCGTGTCGTGAATCGCACGTAATCTGAGCGGACTATGTTCATAGCATCTATCGAGCCTCTTGGTTTTGTGGGTTTGGGCAGGTTTGGGCCTCACAGGGGGCTTTGCACGCCCTCAGCCCATCACAAACCTCAGGCAGCGGCGTCCCGTCCGCCTTCTTGGTCGGCAGCGCAGGTATTCGCAGCCTCAGCGGTGTGCAATGTAGGACCATTGCCACCCGAAGTTATTGCTCTGATCGCGAGGTCTAACGGGACTTGAATGCCGTGTTGATGGGACTCGTCAAGGCCTTAGTTTCTAGGAAGACCCCTTCCATCAATCCCGAAAATCAACCTTGTGAACTGGTGTCTGGTCGATGTAGCCAAGGATCAGGGCAAAGTGCCTGTCCTTGGATTGAGAAGAATCCGTCTGGCTATCTAGATCGAGCCCCAGAGCCAAATTGTCAACTCCTCCGTCTGACCCAATCCGACACAAAGCAAAACTGTATGTCCCGGAGCTACGTGAGGAGGCCAAAGGCTGGCAAAAGGGGGTCTGCGAAAAACAGTGAAGGGAAGTCCAGTTTTAAGGCTTTAAGGCAAGTTGAGACAACTTAAGGCTTCGAGTTCCTCACTTCCGGCCAAGCCCTGCTGCACCTCGACCCAGCTGACTAAAAACTGCTTCATGCCCCTCAAAAGAATTCAAAGCCGCTTTTGACAACCCACAGCCCTGGGGCTTTGCTGCCTCCAGACAATTGAAAACCGTTCAGAAGACGACAAGTACTCCACATGCTTGCCGTGGGCGGAGAACGGTACAGAACGCAAAGCCCTGAGAGCGAGCTTGCCTTCAGTTCAGCGCATAGGACAACTGAATATGGTTGCAACGTGATGATGCGCATTTCATGCTCAAAAAGAGAATACGAAGGAAAGAGAGATGGCGTTAGCGAGCTCAGTGATAATCCCTAAACTAAATAACCTTACAATTTGGTGATCTTGGACATTAGCAAAAAAACCCCCAGTATCAGCCAGAAGTCTACCCTCTGCTCACGTATTGCAATAAGTTAGCCCATCTATCTTACCAAGCCCACATAAAGGGAAACAAACCTAAGCAAACTGCCTGGCCCAAACCAACTAGGAAAGTCAACCTGTCCTCTGTCGCACATGTAGTTAAAACAAGAGAGAGAGAGAGAGAGAGAGAGAGAGAGAGAGAGAGAGAGAGAGCGAGCGAAAAAGGACAGGTCTGATCTTCAAGGCAACCTGCCCTCCAGACAGGACAGGGAGGACAGGCAGGCCTGGCAAGGGAGACGAGGGAGACAAGCTCCGACAGCCCGGCATTCACCACCCACACCGACTTCGAATGAATGGAGACGAGGGGAAGGCGAAAGGTGTTGCATGAACCCTGCATGAACAAAACCCTTACAAATTCCCTGACCGCCAATCACTTTATCCCTTATGCTCTTGATACCACTTTCCATACATAATTACGGCATCGTACTTCTATGTTGCTGCTGTTGCGAGAACACGTTTTATGCTGCCGTCACCCCTGCACGCACCCTGCATCCCCTGTCCAGCTTGCACTAGGGTCCCAAAGCTCAATGCATGTGCACTGCATTGCATGCCCCCTGGACTCCAGCAGGCTGCAGCCCGGAGCACGTATGGGGGGTCGAGGGTACGTGCTGCACTGCATGCCCGGTCCGCAGCCGTGCCGCGAATGCACCCTCATGCAGATGCTGCTGCGGACCCCAGGTTTGTCAATCTTGTAGTCGAGGGGTACTGAAGCTGGAGCATGAAAGGGCCTGAACCACTCGGCGTATTACCAGTAAAACAAGAATACAAGACGATGAAGGCCTTTTGTCTAGCATGGAACTCCATAACCTAAGAGTCAGGTGCTGCTGCTTAGACTGCTCAACTGCAAGCCGCAGACGAACTTCAACCTACTCCATTTAAAACAGGGCGCACATTGCCCGATCCGAGGGACGGTATGCACGTTTAGGATCGGATTTTATGATGTCCAGGTAAGCTCTACCGGCTGTCAGGTTGTAAATAGTTGTAGTGGCTTGTCAGGGGATTGCTCAGACAAGGGGCTTGCGTCTCATCGGTACGATGGAAGAAGAGCGTCTCAGATCTGTACACCTAGGACCGCACGTTTTGCACAGAACCCCACAATGACCCGATTGGTGCGGACGAGGCCATGATAGGCCATGTGAGGTCTCATGAACTCAATTGGAATCTTGATTCATATCTTGAGGGGGATGCTCGAAATCTGTACGAGGAAACGAATGCGATGCCGGTTGTTTTGGACTGACACCGGGCCTGGGCTCGAGAGAAAAGAATCTGAAAAGCAAAAAGGGAGAGCTCTGAGAGACTCTGCCGACAAAGCGCTTGAGGCCGAAGAGTCACGCGGACCCGACCCATAGCCCTTGCATCCCTTGCAATCCCACGCACAAGCACTTTCCGAGCACATCCCTAACATCAACAACCACGAGGAAGCTGTTTCTCAAAAAGATTCCATCCTAACACCTTCCACACCTTCCAACAGCAAAACCCTCCACGACACTGTCGACACTCCAGACAGTCTAAACCAACTAGCCGCAACTAGCCCTAAGCTGCGCACAAGCCTTGAATGCGTAAGCTACAAATTGACAAAAGCCCGCGCCTCGTTTCGTCCCATGGCCCTCTGCAGGGCTCCTGGTTGCAGTGGGCATCCCCCAAAGACTTCGAAATTCATGAGCTAACCTAGAGAACGAAGTGCTGGTTTCACAGGGTGAAGGCGCCCTCGAGCGTTTTGTCTGGAAAGAAAAAACTAGGCAGAGTGGGAATGAAAAGTTGGGTGGGAGCGACTGCGGCTCAAGCCAGAGTTGCCACCTACTCGTACCCCCTATGATGCTGGCCGCCGGGCGCACATGATGGGCCAGAAGGACCCGTTTGTACCCCGTGCTGATTCCGGACATTGAAGATTGCATGCGGACAAGCAAGCAAGCAAGCAAGCAAGCAAGCAGCGATGACCCAAGGTAGATCGCTGGAGATGGTGTTTCGCCTGTCCCATTGCACCCATCTAGACAAAGCTGGAAGCACACTGGCCTGGTTGGAGTTTGCCCGACACTCCATGCTTTCATCGAGAACAGTCAATGCGTTGTTTGCTTCAGAGTCCTTGTCATACTACATTGCATGTTGAGCAGAGCCATGACATCACGAGCTCAACTGCAGTTGCGCGTGCTTGCTGTGGACCCTGTCTCTGACCATCAAATCATATCAAAACACCCAGATCACCTCAAGCACCGCGCCTGCCAAGTGAGACTTCGGAAGCACTTCCGGCGGTTCTACCTCAGGACCAGGCTCGTGACGCTGCAGGCGATGCAGGGGTGAAGGAACAAAAACACCTGGATCAAAACGCGAAATACTGAGAGCCAACACAAATCCAGCTCAACAAGAACAAATTATACACGACGTTTCCCACCGACCCCCAAAACCATTGTGCCACGATTCCTTCAATCAGCTGACTAACTTTCTGAAAGCACCGCGCATCCCCGCCAGCTCAAGACCTGAAAAACTACACAAGCCAGCATACAATCATGGCTGTCACAGGTCCCATGATTGTCCTATGGCACACCCTGCAGCCACGGCCTGAGCTTCGTGCTGGCGCCGCACTGGGCGCAAAGAAGGTTGTCGTAGGCGCCATCTGGGAACGAATGATAAATGCACGTGCAGATTCGGCACGGTGACCATGTGGACATGCACACTTTCCATGATTAGATCAGATCTGAAACCAGAATGTTCTCCCTGCGGCCCTACGGCCAGCTTGGAAGCCTGCATCCTCAAGCAAGAACGCGGCTTTTCTACCATCACCCCCTGTTAGCCAATGAGGTGAACGGTTCTCACACTGCCAAGGAGCCAGAAGCAGCGCCGAACCAAGGCACCCAGACAATCTGCGGCGCCGGACCATGGCTGAGGGGCGCGCAAGCGACGAAAGAGGGGCTTAAAGAAATTCAGCCTCAAGGCTCAAAAGGTTCGAGGGTTCCTGGGTTCCTGGGTTCCTGGGTTGAAGCTCGAGTTTTAAGGATCAACTCAAGAGGGGTGCTCGGCCGTGTTGAAACTCAAGGAACTTGTTACTTTGATAAGAAACCTAGCGGGAGCTCCTTGCTGAAGGGGATTTCGGGCCATAAACTGGAGTGCGGGCCCTACCCAAGACTGTCATTTACCAAAATTTTGTGACCCGCATCTGACCTCTATGCTCTGCAAGCCAAAGTATAACGTGCACGGAAGTATAGCAAAATCCCAACACAGCGCATTGGTTTCAGGGATAGGTTCACTTGTTCTGCATGGCTGCCTGGCGAATTTTCTTTCAAAGCTGAATTTCTAAAAGAGACATCCTTGCCAAGAACATCTTATATGGAACAATTTGTTGCCGCAGTGCATGTTTCATGCCGTCTTCGTCCCCGTGTTGCTGTGTGGTTCTGACCCTCTGACCCCGAAGCACCAGGGTCCAAGAAGCAGTTGGCATCGAAGCAGAAAATGGTTCAACCCTTTTTGTTTAAAGCCCTTTTTCTGTCCCATTCCTCATGATGCTACTAAAAAAACTCGATTTTCTCTATGCTTCAATAGGAAAGCCTCAACTTTCTCTCCACATGTTTCAAAGGAAACCTCGGTTGTCTCTAGAAGTTAGGAAAACCTTTATCTTCTATACCTTTGTAGGAAAACCTCTATTTCCGTATCCCAACAGCAAGACTGCATGGCAGAGCTCTGACACAGTGGACGAACCCTACCTCTCCTTGGGCTCCTTGGGCTTTGGAAACCGGATTCTGGTTTAGAGCAGACGGTGGTACCCAGATTCCATACTGGATTGAACTTCTCGGAAACATGGAGCGCAAGCAGCATGGCCCCGTTATCATCACGAGAAGTACTTGTCCATACCGTTCAAATCGGACAATCTTGATCTCTTGTACTAAAGTGTGAAAACATGCAGCAAGAGAGATCTCACAACGTCCCCAAACGAATGCTAAGGTAAACAGAGTCTGCAGATTTCTGGCCCTCTCTGCGAGGGGCAACTTTGGAGCCCCCTCTTTGACCCAACAGCACCCCTTGCCCGAAAGTTGAAACAAATCCAACATGTGCTGGACCACCCAAACCCCAGGAAAAGAATCACGCAACTCGCAACACCCAAGCCTTCAATCCAACTTCATAACCACGTGGCAACCCAAACGAGCTTGGACCGGCAAGTCGAAGAAGCCCAACAATGAATTTAGGATGAATTTGAGCTCTCAAAGCAAGCAAAGGAGATGCCAGGAGTTTGGGTGCAGTGAGGGCCCTTCACATTACGTGAATCTTCTTTCCTTCAGCTACTGAATGGTCAACCTTCTGGCAATGCTACACCCCCAGCCTCTTCGCCTCAACCTTAAACGCTTGTACTGCTTGTCCAGGCAATGACACAACTGAGCGAGTGCAGTTATGGAAGCTATGGTGGTGCAACCTCATGGTGTGGCACACGGATGGCTGAGATGTCATTCGGGGAGTCTTGCAGTTCTTTCTGGGCCGGCGTCCAGAAGGAAAAGGAACTAGCATGCACAGGTGGGTCCATTTTGAGGCAAGTTGAGCGCCTTTCCTGCCGCGTTCCACGAGAGACTGGTTACCCGCACGTCGAAGCTACAGCCTGTGGCACTGTGGACTGTCACAAACCACCTACGAGGAGGCTGCAGTGCTCAAAAAAACTTTGCCAAACGATGGGGTCTCGAAAGATGGACTGTGCTGGTTCCCGGCGGTACCATGAACGAAATCGACGGTCTAAAGCCAGAAGCTACAAAACGAAAGCTCCATGCTGCAATTCGCGACAAGCTGACGGAAGCCCAGCTGCTGGACTAAACGCCAAACCATTTTCATGGCTCGAACTTCCTAGATATGCCGGACGTGTCAAATACAGCCGAGGGGCTTGGCTTCCGTCGGAAAATGTCGAACGCAAGACAGGTTCGGGTCATGCTTCGAGGTTCGGGATTGCTAAAATCTTCCCGAACATCAGCGGCTCACAAAATCCTGTCGAAAACAAGCCTGAGAGGCAATTCGAGTTCCTGGACAACTCAATTCGGCACTGTGCAGTCGGCACGCACTCGCTGCAACGTGATTGCGGTCGTGGGGAACCGAAATGCCTACATTTCTTTTTCGGGCGTCAAGAGCTCTGGCCAGGTACCTTTTTGTCTCTACTCTCCGACAAGCCTGTATAACTACGTTCTCAGGACAGCATGCAATGTGCCATAGAACTCCCGCCGTTTCTGCTACAAGCATCGAAGCTGCTTCTGATGCTGCTACGATTGCTGTCCCACCCGGCCATTCTAGACTGCACCACCACTACATAGTTTATGCCAAGGTTCTTGGCTGTCGTTTCAGAGCGAGGGAGTCAGTTCCATGAGCAAAACTGCAAACAAACATATGCAGCAATCCAGACACAACTTTCGTCCTCATGACAGAAGCCATGGTTCTGCTGGTCTCTATCCAGGATCCGAGAGGCGGACAATTGCGAAGAGCGATATTGTGACCGACAAAGAAAGCCAGCAAATGACAAATGTCAAGGTGCTGTGCGATATTGGCATCACAATATACATTGATGTGTATGCCTTCCCGCCCTTTCTCACAGTGATTGCAAGGTGCCCAAGATGGATTCCGCAACTGCGCCTTCTGCACAAACGGACCAACCCAGTGCCTGACCCCGATCCGTGCGACCCGTCAGTCTGAATCCTCAGGATGCACTGTATCGATAAACCTGATAAATCGCTACTTTTGTTTGAGGGGTGCTCCCATTCGCTGGCATACTTAGAACCCACCCGACGCTTCATGCAATGCATGGGCCCATGCGGCCATCACCTCCATAGGACTTCGGAGCTGGTGCCAGCCCACTACTGAACACTCTTTTCGGGCCACTAAGATACAGGATAGAGGTGGTCGTTGACATGTAGATCGCGCCAGTTCGTGTTTTGACGTTCCGCATCTGTTGGGAATCCTCCTTGGGGATTTCATGCGACTCCTTGGCTCTCAGCCTGCCAATGAAACCTGTCCATCTGCCCAAACTCACCCCGCCAACCCGAAATTTTAGATCACCTGCTGCCTTTCAGTGCAATCTTTTGTCTACGGCTGGCCGGTCTACTCAAAGTTGTCAAAATTCCCATCAGCCAATCGCATTGTCTTCGCTGGTGGTGGAGGGGCCACAAGAAAACCCTCAACGGACCCTCAAGCCAGATCTCCGCCGTACTGAGAACCAGTGGATGTCCAGGACTTCTCAATTCTTCGGTCCAATGTGTAGGAAGGCTCAGGGGTCGGTTTCTTTTCATCATCTGGGACTTTCGCTATAGGCTTTGGGGCTCTTGGGATTGGAAGGTGTAGTCTCCATCTCCGTCTGTGTCTGTGTCTGTGTCTGTGTCTGTGTCTGTGTCTGTGTCTGTGTCTGTGTCCCTCTATTTGTCTGCCTCTCTGCGTCTCAGCCGCTCTGCCACTCTGCCTCTCTGCCTCTCTGCCTCTCTGCCTCTCTGGCCATCTGTCGATCTGTCAACCTGTCGATCTGTCGATCTGTGGATCTGTCTATCTGTTTATCTGTCCATCTGTCTCTCCGTCTGTCACTCCCGTCTACATGTCTTTGTCTGCCTGCCTGTCTGTCGATCAGGTGGGGGTTGACCTGAAGTCTTGAGAAATGCGCATTCAAGGCAGGCTTTGAGCCCGCGCGACCTCAATGCATTGAAGCAAAACCATGCAATATTGATTCCACTCCGACGGCTTGCTGCGCTGCAACTCCATGCCTGGGCGAAGAAGGCATGCGGGTATGCGCCAAAAGGGCCCCAAGGGTGAGAGCTCACACAATTGCTCGATGACTTGCTGATGTTGCCCCCGGCGAACCTTTTGATCCGTTTTGCCCGGTAGAGCCCTAAACACTAAGCCCCGAAGCCCCGAAGCCCAAGATGCCACAGGTGGGACCGTAGGGCATGGATCCTTTCCCTGCTGGCCCCACAAGACTACATGCCACTGGCAGTAGGGCCAGGCACAACGGCAAGCCTTACAGCCGGTCAGGCACAACATGGCACAACTAGAAAGGCCTGTTGCTTTGCCCGGTAGAGCCCTGCTGCTTTCCCTGATGTTCACCCTGTTTTCCACACGTCTGAACGCGTTGTACGGCTAAAAATCGCTCCTCAACAAGCCCGAAGCTTGTAGACATGCCTGCTTTTTTGTTATCGCTATGTGGCTGACTTCCGAAATAGTGTGCTCCGAGCCTGCATACGTGAATCGGATCCACTATGTTGCTGCGAGGCTCCATTGGCTCCAAACCGAGCATTCAAAACCAACATCCAGCTCAAGCGAAGTGAACCAGCAAAGCAAAAAATGGGCCGTCTTTAGCCGAAAGTCTCAAACCCTCCAGCGTTCGCAGGAAGCTGCCATGGTGATCCTGTGCACTTGCAAAATCTCGCAACTGAACGGCGATGTATTTTGAATTCTGCACGATGAAGCCGTGTAGTGACTGTCACGTGAAGGTTGGGAGGGGCCTTGACAAAAAAGACAACCCAAAATGCAGCCTGACGTCAATGGAGATTTAACCAAGCTTCTCTGAGCCACATACTTACTTTACCTTGACTGGCGCACTCTTCAGCAACTGGCCCATACAGCGTTGTTGTCAGAACTTGGGGTGCAATGATTCAGGACTCGAAGTAGAAGTGCGCAGAGGTAAGAACGAAGTGCGTTTACTCCCGGTGAGAAACTTGCAAGTTCAGATACATCACGAAAATGGCCACCACTACAGTGCAGTACGGATGTGTTCCCCAAAATTCGAACACCCTTCACTTTTGCACTATGGTTGGGTGGTAGCTGCCTTTCCGTCGAAGGTCTATCGTGCCTTCCCCAGGCGGAATGCTTTTCATACGTGATCTAAACCCTCGGTCGGTACAAGCTACAGGCAAGTGACTCGCTTCAAAAACA